ATCCATCCATCCATCCATCCATCCATCCATCCATCCATCCATCCATCGTCACTGATGGGCACTAGTTTTCAGTTTAATTTATATTTATCTAAAAATGGCAGCAGTTGTTTCAGTCTGATCTTCAGGTAGAGGCTTAAAACTGTTGACAAAGAGTTCTTGCTCATGATATAATAAGGGCTGAAGGAAAGGGCTTTAGGTCAATGAAACATCCAGTCTTTAAAATGTATTGTATATTATGGCCATTTTGAAGTGTGGTATTCGAATCAATATCATACCTGTTGCAGATAGCTTTTGAAATGCCTCGTTTATGTTTGACTGTTCACATTGTTTAATTTTTTTAACCCTCTCTCTTTTAGGCAGTACAATATTTAATATTCCTCCCATCTGAAAATATATAACTGATAGGATTAAAAAAACATGAGTTTTAATACTATTTTGCAAAATAGGATTCAGAAGGCAAGGATTGAGTGTATTCAGTGTATTTCATCTCTATTTTCCACCCCTGCACCCTCCGCTGCCAGCCCTCTGCTGCTCCCTCTCCTTTAGCCTTTAATCCCCTTTGCCCTGGAATTAGTTACCATGCCCATTAGATACCTCATTCAGTGGGACTCTGCAGTAGGCTTTATATCAGTACTTAATCACTCAGCACATACCGTGATAGTATGTGTAGGTGTATTATAGCTACAGAGGCGTGTATTAAACTGGTATTAAAAGAAATTTGGATTCACGTTGGTGCACCCAGATGTAAAGACCTTAATTGGTTCACATTAGGAATAGGTCAAATGAATCTCCAGTCTCAATGAAAGTGTAGTCCTTTCACAGAGGAAGAGGCCTTGGTGGTCTATGTGTTGGGTAAATGAGCACAAGATGAACTCAGGGACTGTCAAGAACTTGAATTTTATGTCTGTATATAATTGTTGTGGGTAGTCTGATTGCAAATGTTCAGTAGATTTCACACGTTGTCATTTAAATGCATACCTAAACATGTTCTTGCAATCAGCTAAGTATCTTCCCTGTATACAGTTATACAGAGCTACTGTATGTTGTACAATGGGCTTTCAGTGAGCAGCGTTAACAGTTCAGAGCCATTTGTGCAGAATCTTTGTAGCAAAAGCCATGTGGCAACCCAATTTTTGATATTGACCTTTTTTTATGCAAAACTGCATCTACATATCAAAGGAGAAGTTAGCATATCGTTTGTTTTTCCAAGTTATCCAGCTCAAAGGTCTACATAGATAGATATATGGCAGCAGCCATCTTGGATATTGAGTTATTTCCAATTATCCGAAGGAAACGTTCTTACATCTAGATTTAGGCACACACCAAAATGGAAGTTTATACATCACATATTTTTTAAGTTACTCACAACATGAACATATATTTATGGTGGCAGCCATCTTGGATTTTGACACGGCTAAACATTTTTGAAAGGAAACTTTCTTACATCTAGATGCAGCCACATATCAAAATGGAAGACATACCTCACTTAGTTTTCTAACTATCATGCTCACAACATCCACACATGCATGCACGGATGGAGGATTATTCCAATTTCCCCTCTTCGCTCTGCGGGGTGGTACAAAGATATTAAATAAAAAAATAACAAAAAGATATGCTGGCATAGAAGTGGAACAATGTTTATCATGTTTTCTTCTTTCAGCTTTTCCCTCTTCAGGGGTCACCACAGCGAATCATCCTCCTCCATCTCACTCTGTCCTCTGCATCCTCTGTCCTCACTCCAACTACCTCCATGTCCTCTCTAACTGCATCCATACAGGTCCTTCTAAAAAAATTAGCATATTGTGATAAAGGTCATTATTTTCCATAATGTAATGATAAAAATGAAACTTTCATATATTTCAGATTCATTGCACACCAACTGAAATATTTCAGGTCTTTAATAGTTTTAATACTGATGATTATGGCATACAGCTCATGAAAACCCAAAATGCCTGTCCCAAAAAATTAGCATATTTCATCCCACCAACGAAAGACAAGTGTTTTTAATACAAAAAACACCAACCTTCAAATAATCATGTTCAGTTATGCACTCAATACTTGGTCGGGAATCCTTTTGCATGAATGACTGCTTCAATGCAGCGTGGCATGGAGGCAATCAGCCTGTGGCACTGCTGAGGTGCTATGGAGGCCCAGGATGCTTCGATAGCGGCCTTAAGCTCATCCAGAGTGTTGGGTCTTGCGTCTCTCAACTTTCTCTTCACAATATCCCACAGGTTCTCTACGGGGTTCAGGTCAGGAGAGTTGGCAGGCCAATTGAGCACAGTAATACCATGGTCAGTAAACCATTTACCAGTGGTTTTGGCACTGTGAGCAGGTGCCAGGTCGTGCTGAAAAATGAAATCTTCATCTCCATAAAGCTTTTCAGCAGATGGAAGCATGAAGTGCTCCAAAATCTCCTGATAGCTAGCTGCATTGACCCTGCTCTTGATAAAAACACAGTGGACCAACACCAGCAGCTGACATGACACCCCAGACCATCACTGACTGTGGGTGCTTCACATTGGACTTCTGGCATTTTGGCATTTCCTTCTCCCCAGTCTTCCTCCAGACTCTGGCACCTTGATTTCCGAATGACATGCAAAATTTGCTTTCATCTGAAAAAAGTACTTTGGACCACTGAGCAACAGTCCAGTGCTGCTTCTCTGTAGCCCAGGTCAGGCGCTTCTGCCGCTGTTTCTGGTTCAAAAGTGGCTTGACCTGGGGAATGCGGCACCTGTAGCCCATTTCCTGCACACGTCTGTGCACGGTGGCTCTGGATGTTTCTACTCCAGACTCAGTCCACTGCTTCCGCAGGTCCCCCAAGGTCTGGAATCGGCCCTTCTCCACAATCCTCCTCAGGGTCCGGTCACCTCTTCTCGTTGTGCAGCATTTTCTGCCACACTTTTCCTTCCCACAGACTTCCCACTGAGGTGCCTTGATACAGCACTCTGGGAACAGCCTATTCGTTCAGCAATTTCTTTCTGTGTCTTACCCTCTTGCTTGAGGGTGTCAATGATGGCCTTCTGGACAGCAGTCAGGTCGGCAGTCTTACCCATGATTGTGGTTTTGAGTAATGAACAAGGCTGGGAGTTTTTAAAAGCCTTAGGAATCTTTTGCAGGTGTTTAGAGTTACGTCGTTGATTCAGATGGTTAGGTTAATAGCTTGTTTAGAGAACCTTTTCATGATATGCTAATTTTTTGGGACAGGCATTTTGGGTTTTCATGAGCTGTATGCCATAATCATCAGTATTAAAACAATTAAAGACCTGAAATATTTCAGTTGGTCTGCAATGAATCTGAAATATATGAAAGTTTCATTTTTATCATTACATTATGGAAAATAATGACCTTTTTCACAATATGCTAATTTTTTTAGAAGGACCTGTATATCTTCTCTTTGTCTTTTTCCTGGCAGCTGCATTTCCAACATCCTTCTACCAATATACCCATTGTCCCTCCTCTGGACATGTCCAAACCATCTCAGTCTGGTCTCTCTAACTTTTGTCTCCCAGTTGTTCAACCTGTGTTGTACCTCTGATGATCTCATTCCTAATCTTATCCATCCTAGTCACTCCTAAGGAGAACCTCAACATCTTCATTTCTGCCTCTTCCAGTTCTTTTTCCTGTCTTTCTGTCAATACCACTGTCTCCAGACCATACAACATAGCTGGTCTCACTATGGCCCCACTATATTGTAAAAATAAAATTACATCATCCAGAATGTGGATGTTCTTGGCAAGGTCTTCAGGTATAACATAATGTGCTCCTCATGATAGGTCCAAAATGGTTTTAAGAGCTAAGAACCCAACATAGCTACATGGTCCTGGGCAACAGCTGCAATCAAGACATTGTCATGGAAACAAACAGGCACAGACGTAATACGCACAGCTGCATGCAGATGTGTCTGAGAAATTCATACCAGGGTGGATGTATAGTGTAGGGAGGGTGAAGGACAGCATCTCGTGATGCAGAAAATAGAGAAAAGTGTATAAGTAAGAGGTTAGCAGCACCATCAGTGCCTTTAGACTGAAGGTTGCTCAGATTTGCTGCAAATAGGTCATGAAAAGGTTGACAACCAGTTTGAATGGAGCCCTGAGTAGGAAAAGCAACAATTTCTTACCAAAATATTCCTCAGATGGAGGGTTGTCCATGTCAAACAGCATCTTCTTGGTCAAGCGTTCCAGCTCATCTTCTGGGTGAGCCATGGGAGTACCACCCTGAAAAACCACACAAAAAAAAAACTTTCAGCCGTGAAGATGAAGAAGGTGGAACAGAACACATTCAGTATAATTTAAATGCTGTGCGTGGCCCTCGGTCTGTTTTCCTCCTTGGCACGTCTGACCCTGGCTAAAACCCAGCTCAGGTTTCCTTTAGTGCCTGTTTGAGGGAAAAAATACTGTGACCCTGACTAACCTTTCTGTTTGTAAAAAATATGATGGCAAAAGCCGAAAAAGAGGCAAACATGAGACATCTTCCTTTCAAGCTGGGTACATTTGGGTGATAGGTCGGGAGACAGTTATTCAGATGTACTTTGAGCACAAAAAGACTCTAGCAGAGATCTGCGCCAGGGTTTAATCTGAGATAGGCTCTCAAACGGATGACATAACTCTCTGAAGAGGTGTCTTTCCTCATTTCCTTGTAAGCCTGCCCTTGTTCTTATCATGCCGTCTCTGACACCTGACTTCTGTGTTCTGTTCTGGGCTGATGTGTTGCGCTTGACATTTTCTGCCAATCACCCTCAGAGCCCAAGAATCCCCTTCTCCTCTAGCTGCAGATCAATCCCATCACAGGTGACTGTTTGTCCTTTTCAGACACCCTTGGAGGCCTGCACTCGATTCACTGCGTGACACGTGGCTGAGCGCTTTCAGAACACGGTGACCCTACGATGGACTTTCTTACATCGTGGATCATCCAGGATCTTTACAGGAGTTTTGATTTTCAATATTACTGCATGGCCTGAAATCTGAGCTGACCTTTGCGGTGCTCCTAATTATGACATCAGGGAGTTGGGGAAACATTAACAAACAGTCCAGCTTTGTATTCATTTAGTCATTATTTCAAGTGTCACCTAAGGGATTCTGCATTGTCTATGAGAAATGTAATTAAAACCTAATGTTGGATTACAGATGTATGAGTAATTATCCTGGTATTGTTGAATTTGTGCTATTTGTTTCAATTTAATCTAAAATATAGTAAGTGCTCCATCTCATCCAATGATGGTTGTAAAAGTTTATGCTCTCAGCCATTTTATTCTTGCAGTGGTTTTAAACCAAAATGTCGAAAGGTGTTTATATGTTTATATAACTTTTCTGTTTTAATCTGACACAAAACAACACGTAGTTCATTCAACCTTTATTTATACAGGTTAATCCCATTGAGCCTCGGGGGCTCATTTACAAGAAAGACCTGAATAGTTGAGCAATAGTTGAGTTCTTTGAATAACAGTAAGTAAGATTAAAATGATGAACGCTAGTGTTGTAATTTCCAATAAGAAATCACAATAAATATACTATTACATTGTTTTATTACCAAAAGCATGATGCAGTAACACAGCGGTGCACTAATGATAATGTAAAGGTTTAACGTTTACTTAAGGATAGCATATTTAGAAGATATCAAACCTTCAAACTCAAAATATGTCCTAAAACAACAGAAAAAGGCAGTAGTACACTGATTTTCCCCAATGCTGAGGGATTTGAATAATAAATCTTTGTAGCTTTCTAGTAAAAGTATTGTAGTGTTTTTCTGGACTCAAATTCAACAGGCAATGCAACTAAACCTCAATGTTCAAGTAAGTAGGAGTCACACTGTATGTAAGAAGAGAGGTCGTTTTTTTAGGTTTGACTCTTTTTGCTGGTCTGAGGCAGCACAGTGACAAATCCTGGTGAGAGAGGGAGGAAATTAATCCATGAGCAGGTGCAATGCCAGACCTAGGGGGTGGCCAGTGGTGGCCGTGGCCACTACAGATTAATCTTCAGCCACCCCAATAATTTGAGGAAATTATAATTTAAGCAAAATCAAAACTAGAAGGCTTAAGACATTCATATCCTGATGCATGCTCAATAATCCAGGTAGAAAAATCTAAAAAAAGTTAAATCTGGTCCTCTGGACATTCAAAAAAACAAAACAAAGCAAATCAACAAAAAAATGTAGAAACGTTTCGTCTCTCATCCGAGAGACTTCCTCAGTCTGAGGAGCTGTATTCAGCTCAGTCTCTTAAATAGCACCGTCTCAGAGTGGATCAACCAGTTTGCTGCTGACAACCAAAACCAGCTGATCACATGCTCAAGAAGGACCATCAGCCTAACAATGGATCATTAGCACACTGATGGCTGTTTACTGTTCACAGAGGGCTGAGTGATACTAGCAATCACAGCATTGTAAGAGGGGGACAGTTGAACCCGGAGGCCTCCACCCCTGTTTAACGATGGACGATTTCTTTTCACAAAGATGGCCTCCCTTACTCCTCTCTCAAACCATCGTTCCTCTCTGTCCAGGATGTGAACATCTTCATCCCTGAAAGAGTGACCGCTGGCCTGGAGATGAGTGTAGACCGCAGAGACCTGGCCTGATGATGTTGATCTTCTGTGCTGGGCCATCCTTTTGGCCAGTGGCTGTTTAGTTTCCCCGACGTAAGACTGATCACAGCCCTCCTGACACTGAACAGTATACACAACATTGCTCTGTTTGTGCCGGGGAACTGGATCTTTGGGATGAACCAGTCTTTGCCGTAAAAGCAAAGACGCTGCTTTGCCGCTTAAGACATTACTTCTTCAAATGACAGGGGTGGTTGGTTTATTGTACATGTGTGTGTCTGTGTGTGTGTGTGTGCGCGTGTGTGTGTGTGGGTATACATACACATGCAAATGGTAAATGGACTGTACTTGTATAGCGCCTTTCTATCTAATCAAGATACTCAAAGCTCTTTACAACATAATATGTGCCTCATTTACCTCTATACATGCATTCATACAGCACTCTACTACACCTCTACGAAGATAATCTGAATCTGTAGAGACTGATCAGAGCTTTAGATCACATTCATACACTGATGGGACACACATCAAAGGCAATGAGGGGTTCAATACCTTGCCCAGAGACACTTCAATATGTGACTGCTGGTGGGATTGATCCCCCAACTCTCCCAATGGAGGACATTGATCTAACAGCTCAGCCACAGCTACACAAAGGCAGCATGTATATGGGCCCTTAAGGAGTGGCCCCATAAGAAGAATTGTGAGGTCCTGCAGTGTCCTAGCCAGTCTTCAGACCTGAACTCAATAGAAAATCTTTGGAGGGAGCAGAAACTTAAACACTTGGTGGTGTCCCTGAAAAGGACGTCAAGGCTCTCTTTTCTACCT